GATGGTTCAGGACTGTCATCGGTCCTCAAGGGGATTTTTCCAATGACAGCCCTGAACCGTCAGCGGTCTTAAGGGGTTAATAACTTTGGGTGTATCCCATGAGGCCCCATTGACTTATTTGTCTTTACTTTTAACTGTTGAAATAGAACCTCTTCCTCTTTAACCCCTTCCCGACCTCGGACATGCAGGGTACGTCCGACAAAAAATGGCAGTTAATGACCACGGACGTACCCTGCATATCCGAGGCTAAAATTATTATTATTATGATATTTATAGAGCGCCATCAAATTCCGCAGCGCTTTACAATGGGTGGACGAACAGACATGTAGTTGTAACCAGACAAGTTGGACACACAGGAACAGAGGGGTTGAGGGCCCTGCTCAATGACCTTACATGCTAGAGGGAGTGGGGTAAAATGACACAAAAAGGTAAGGATAGTATCAGACTAATGACAGTTGCAGAAGAGGAATCAGTCAGGAGCTATTAACAGTTTAATGGATACGCTTTTATGAAGAAGTGGGTTTTTAAAGATTTTTTGAAGGAGTGGAGACTGGGTGAGCATCTAACGGAGGAGGGAAGCAAGTTCCACAGGAACGGTGCAGCCCTCGAGAAATCTTGAAGGCGAACATCAGAGGTGGGAGTACGGACAGAAGATAGACGTACATCTTCAGCAGATCGTAAGGGCCTAGACGGGACATACTTGTGTATAAGGGAGTGTGACACAGGGAGGATAGATAGGTGGGAGCAGCATTATGTAGAGATTTGAAAGCAAGAACCAGAATTTTAAATTGAGCTCTATATTTTATAGGAAGCCACTGTAGGGATTGACAGAAGGGTGAGGCATAGGAGGTGCGTGCGGACAGGAAGATGAGCCTCGCCGCCGCATATATTATGGACTGTAACGGCGCTAGCTGGGAGCACGTAAGACCACTGAGAAGCGGATTACAGTAGTCAAGGCGAGAAAGGACAGTGGAATGGACCAACACCTTAGTCGCATCTGGCGTTAAGTAGGGGCGGATGCGCGCAATGTTTTTTAGATGGAAATGACAGGATTTGGCAATAGATTGAACATGAGGCTTGAAGGAGAGGTCGGAGTCAAAGAGAACACCTAGGCAGCGAGCCTGCGTACTAACCTGGACCGGTGTTCCCGGTCTAGGGGGACTGCCCGAGACCCCAGCAGTCCCCTTGTTGCAGCTCTGTCCTCTTCGACCCTCCAGGGCCTTGTGATCACCATGATCACATGACTGCAATGGAAGTCTATGGAGCTGCCAGCAGGGGGACTGCCCGAGCAATCAGGCAGTCCCCCAGGCACCAAAAAGGGTGTCAAAAATAAATATATTATACATATATAATGCATATATATGATTTCTTTATAAGTGTACTTTGAGATATATACACATTTGTGGTCAGGGAAGAAAGCCATATAATTGTGGACCTATACCTATAAATATTAGTATAATATACTAAGTCGGTTGTGGTGTGCCGAAACCGACGTACGGGTAGGTCTGTAAATAAAGAGGGCAAAAGAGAAATATCAGTTCCATTCTTTAATACGTATACATATACATTAAGTCACCCATGAGTTCTTATTTCGCCAGTTGTTTAAATGCTTGTCTTATCTCTTTCTCCGGTTGAGGTATGCAACGGTTGTATGCTGATGACTTCCATCTGCCTAATTTTTTGATAATATGTACCGGTACGTTTTGGCTCAAGGCTGATGTAGCAGCTCCAATACGAAAGGAGTGGCCGGTGAATGCCGCGGGATCGTAACCGATTCTTGTGAACAACAATCTTACATATTTGATGAATTTCGAGGTAGTTAGGGGTGGACCGTGTATGACGAGGAGGGGAGTTTGTTTGGGTTGATCAGCCAAGCCTGACATGAATTTGTCGAACAGTAGTACAGGGCACCAATGGTTATCGGTAGGGTAATATTGAATGTCGAGGGGCGGACCCATTTGATTTATTTTGGAATGTTGTAAATACAGGGTGTAGTGATCACCTATTTTGTTTAGGTGTGAAATGCATAGCATATTTGACTTGTCATTGCTGTTACCTATGGTGAGTTTGTTGGGTCGCATGAACCCATAAAATGCCAGGTATATGGCTGTTTTGATCATGCTATTCGTGTGGGTTTCAAATGGTTTGGTATCTATCATGTCAGACAGGGCCCTGAATGTTTCTGCATCGATTGGTTGTCGTTTAGTAGGCTTAGGGTTTTCCAGGCGTAGAATGCCTTTTAGAATATTTTTAATGTGATGTGTTGACATGAAATTCTTATGAATGGTATATGTGTTGCTTAAGTGATGCTGTATCCTAGTTAAATATAGTTTTATGGTGTTGTGGGCAAGTTTCAGGTTAAGGTGGAAAAAAGAGGTGAATGCCACCATAGTATCCAAACTATATGGGATTGTGATTTGATATTCTGAAATAAATTTGTTGAATAATTTTAGAGCTCGATTGTATGAGTGTCTAGTGTTTATGGATAGTGCGACTTGTGCTAGTGCTCTCCCGTGCTCCATGAGTAATTTTAGTCCAGGATGAGGTCTCTGAACCGAGGTGTCTCGTTTGGTAGTTCCTCTGCTGTTGGGTGTAGCTGCTAGCACACCTGCAAATTTTAACTAGACAGTGCGTCAGCTGCGGAATTGTGGTGACCTGGCACGTGTATGCAAGTTATGACAAAGTTTTGTGTGGATGCCAACCATGTGAGTTGTGGGGATATTTATGAGATAATAATAGTAAACAGTGAGAATTGCCCACTAATTCAATTCTCAGATCCCAAAGATCGTTATCGTGTTAAGTGAAAAGTATTTCATATAAATAAAATCACAATGTTATAAAAATAGATTTATTTATTATGACCAATAATTAATAATAATAATATGTAACATGCGTGACAATAATCAATGAATATCCAGTATAAAATGGTATGCAATACAAAGGAATGGCTATACACGTTTCAATGGCTAAACAGCATTTTCTGTCAAGAAACACGATTTATGAGGTATCCTTACAGACATAGAAAGCGAAGCTTTTCACAACGAAGGGCCATAAAACCCTGGCTAACAGTTAGATCAACTGAATAACCCTTTCAATGCTGGCTAGATCCTCTCAGGTAATTAAGATCTATTCTTATGTAATTTTAAATAAACTAACATTTAAACCAGTTCATTAGTCATTTCCTGGAACCATCCAATAAGAGAATCTACCATGATTTTTACAAAAGCCGAATTTAATTTGTCTAAAAAGATATCTTATCTTATATTAGAGTAAATCAATACACCTGGATAAAAACAGCGGTATGCTAACACGTGATAATATCACATTAATACATAATTATTCTTAATTCCACCTGCAGAATGGAATGTTTATAACTATATATTCTTTAGTTAACTAAGATTTCTAAATATGGAAATCTGACCGTGATTTATCCAATCGTTTATATCATGCTATTAGTTCATTTTAATTAATTTAATTAATTAAATGAAACCAGTATAATTACCAGTTGAATAGATATTTCATCCGATTGGTAGTCTCAGGAACTTGTTTGGATGTCTCTCTGCATGGAGGTGCGTGGGTAATAGTGAAAAGTAGTGTTGGTTAGAAAGTGTCAAAGAGTTTGTGAGTTGAGTGTTAGTCTCAGATGTTGTCCTGGGTTTCTCTGCATGTCCGAGTTGGAGTACCCAAACCTCCAATTCCTCTTCCCTCTCCTCTCTTTGTCTTAACTTTTAAAGGGCCAGACTCTCTGTACGTCATTAGTTGATAACCCAATAGGAACACTGGAGGTGTGGTTACCTTCCAGATAGCAAGTTAGTGTTTGGTCTATAGAGGGCAGTCTTGTCGCACTAAACATACCTATCCAGGAAAGAGTTAATTTTTCCTGGTGCCTATTTTGACGTAATTTTGGCTTATCTATATGGTTGCCATAATTTAAGTTTTCTGTCAGATCAAACAGTTTCTTTAAGTTTTGTCCAGACTATGTGTCTGGCAAATTCTGCTATAATTTCTAATATGACAGTTATAACTAAGTTTTGACCCGTAACTTACAATGGGATCTTGAACATATAGAAAGTAAAATTTTATTATTTAATCTCCTCTGTCACAAATGTCTGTGTTTAGATATGCATCTATTCCATTAACATTTTAGACAGTCTGTCCAACCCCCGTTCTCGTTATCACTTAGTTTGTATATACTATGCATTCCTTTAGCTCTGGGAAAGTGGTTAGTTTTACAGATAGAAATCTTGTGTCTTTTGTTAGCTTGAAAATAACAAAATGGAGTCTGCTCTGTTCAAAAGTGACTCAGCATATACACTTTTAATTTCTATCATAGCACAAGATGTCTGCCGATATAAATACCCTGACAGAGTCTCATGACCAGACTCATGATGGTTAGTGAAGACGACCTGCCCTTATTTAGAATTTCACAAGCGCCATGTTGTCAGTGTTTTACTGCCTTCCCTACCCATAAGTGGCCCCAAACTTTAGCTGCTGCCACTATGGGGTAGATCTCGAATAGTGCCAAAGTTTTGGTGAATGCGGGTAACCCTAGTGCCTCGTTTGGCTATATGACCCTAAACCAACGTCTTCGAATATTGCTGTGAAGCCTGCGTGACCTGCCGCATCCGTCCAAAATAGAGGGGAGTTCTCAGATAACTGGGGTATAAACATATTCCTCCCGTTCCAGTCAGACCGAAAATGGTACCACATGGTCAAATCTGCCCTAGCCTGAATGTCGAGTGTAACTCTGCTGTCATCGTTGGGTAAGCCTGGTAACAAACTAAGAAGACGTAAGAAGAATGCTCGTCCTTGTGGTATGACTCTCATGGCAAAGTTCAGAGAACCCAGGAGTGATTCTAGGTTCTTCCATGATGCCATTCCTTCGTTGAGGAATGACCTGACCTCTGCCCGTATTCTTTGAACTTTGTCCGATGGCAGGCTAGCTTGCATGGCTGCTGAGTCAAGTTCGATACCTAAGAAGGTTAATCTGGTGGTGGTGCCTCCTGTCTTGTTCTCGGCCACTGGTACTCCTAACATCTTGAATAATGCTACTGTTTTGTTGCTGCTATGGGGTTCTGCGCCAGGTTTCTCTATTGTCAGGAAGTCGTCCAGATAGTGAATAATTACTGGACAACAGCAGATATTTAGTAGTGGCCAGAAAAGTGTTTCTGCAAACAGGTCGAACAATTTGGGGCTGCTTTTGGCCCCGAATGTCAGACGGTTAGCAAAGTAGTATATGCCTTTCCAACTTACGCCATGCAAATGCCATAGAGACGGGTGCAAAGGGAGCAGCTTGAAAGCGTTTGAAATGTCGGTTTTCCCGAGCCAAGCCGCTACCCCTGCTTCCAGTATTCCCTTGTGCACACGAACCGCCGCCATTTCGGCAGCCGAACACGTGGCAGCCGCCATTTTTTTTTTTTTTTGTCATTCTCTTTTTATTGTTGTTTCACATAGCATGTACATGACATCCAACCAATGCGATATACATTGAGGAAACAGAGAAATATGAGAAGCAAAGGCATCTTTCCCCTTACAGCATTTGTTTGGAAGTTTATCCCTTTTCCTCCGTCCCCTTACAGCGATCTTCCCGTCTGACCCTTTCCCCCTCACCCCCCTCCCCTATCCGTCCCACGTCTACAAGCACTATGCTGTCTTTGCTTACTGACTCAGTACCTACAATATTCGCCTGTCGAATAGAGTTGTTTAATGTATAGGGGCATACGACTACCGTTCGCCCGTGTTCTCTGGGCCCTTTCTAGGGCTTTAGACGTTTCTCTCGCCTTACATCCCGTGGTTTAGTTCGCCTTACTGAGAAGACTATAGGGCTCTCTCAACTCCCTATCGGGGAGCCCCTCATGACCCCTCCCTCGGTATGGGTCCCCTCTAGGCGACCGGTGCTGGATTAGATTCCCACATCTCCACCTCCAGTTATGGTACCCCCGGGGTGGGGGGCTCACGTCCCTGTTCCCGACAGGAGTCTGCCCGTGTCGACCGGTGCCTCTATTGTTCCTCTCGTAGCATGTGGGAGGTTGTCTACCATGTAGTCCTGTTGCCCTACTACCCATTTTTGTATTTATTGGTCAGGGGTGGACTCGAGTTCTCTCCGTTGGGTGGAGTCTAAAGTTGAGCTGGCATCCGTCAAAGGTTATGGGTGTCTTACCCGTCTTAATGTGTAGTACGTCCTATGTCTACGTGACCTCGGTCTTACCGCTAATCATGCTGCACCCTTCTCGAGGTAGGTGCTCCAGGGGTACCATTTGAGGGCGCACTTGTCCGAGCGCTCCTGCAGGGAGGCCGTCATGAGTTCCATTTCGTGTATGGCTTCTACCTTATCCACCCATTGGCGATATGTGGGGATTGTCTGGGCCTTCCAGTGTAGGGGTATGAGTGTTTTGGCTGCGGTGAGCAATTGTATGGTGAGCGAGTTTTTGTATTTGCTCAAGGGTGTGTTTGTATGGTTCAGGAGCATCTGCAGGGGTTGGAGGGGAAGGTCTGTGTCTGTAATTTCCCTGATCTTATTATTAATCATCCGCCAAAATGGAACTATGTGGGGGCAGGACCACCAGATGTGCAGATATGAGCCTAGTTCTACCCCACATCGCCAACATTCCCCCACGTCCGCCTGTGTCAGGTGTCTAAGAGTGTCGGGTGTGCGGTACCACCGTGTCAAAAGCTTGTAACTAGTTTCTTGAAATTTGGAGCTTATCGAACATTTGTGGGTCAGGAGAAAGATTTTTTCCCATTCTATATCTGTCAACTGGGTTCCAGTCTCCTGTTCCCATTTATTGGTGAAGCCCAAGGGACCCGAATCCGCCGTCCGCATGAGGGACCCATACATTCGCGAGACGCCGTGTTCTATATGTTTCCTATCGGTACACATTTGTTCAAACTCTGTAAGCTGCCTATGTATATGGGCCTTCCCTGGCAGGTGGGCATGGTATGCCTTTATCTGGTGATAGTGAAAGGAGTCCAACGGCGTAGGGAGTCTATCTCCCATTAGGTCTCGTAGGCTTCTGATCCGGCCACCCTCACTCCATTGATGGAGATAATTCCAGTCCGAGGCTTGGAGGCGTGTAAGAGCCGCCGGCTGTAGTCCTCCAGCCAGGTCTGGGTTAAACGTGATGGGAGTCAGGGGGTTCGGAGAAGTCGTCAGCTGCCGGGCATAGCGCAGTTTGCACCAGACTCTCAATGTGGCGTCTATGATAGGATTAGTAGTCTGAAGGTCCCTATAAGTGGCACTCCCCAGCCAGAGTCTGGATGGGATGCCACCTCGCGTTTGTTCCTTCTCCAGCGTCACCCAACGTTTTGGTCCCGGAAGGGCGTGCCAGTCGATTATCCTGTGCAGGTGCGCGGCTTGATAGTACATGAGCAAAGAAGGCAACCCAACTCCCCCTTCCATCTTGGGGCGCTCCAGGGTCGCCCGGCGGATACGCGTCTGTCTTTGATTCCATACAAACTTGCGTATGCCCGTGGTTGCCGACCTAAAGAATTCCTGTGGGATCTGCGTGGGCAGGGTTGCAAACAGATAAAGCAGTCTCGGGAGTATATTCATCTTGACTGCGCTGATGCGACCGAACCAGGTAAGATACAGTCCTGACCATCGTGTCAGGTCCTGCTGTATAGTGGTGAGCATGGGAAGGAAGTTGAGTTGGTACAGGAGGGAGAGGTCCTTCGGCAGCCAGGTGCCCAGGTAGCGGATTTTTGATTCCCGCCAGGCAAAGGGGAATTGGGAGCGAAGGTGGTCTGCGAGGCCCCTCTCGCGTGTTATCAGCATGGCTTCCGACTTATCTAGATTCAGTTTTAGGTTGGACACTTTGCCATACTCGGTAAACGCTCGTAATAAGTTTGGTATGGAGACTAAGGGCTGCTCCAGGAAGAAGAGCATGTCATCCGCGTAGGCTGCCACCCTGTGTTCTTCGCTCCCTATCTTGACTCCCGTTATTCCCCCATCCCGTCTGACCGCCTCCAGGAATGGTTCCAGGGTGAGGGCAAACAGGAGGGGGGACAGGGGGCAGCCCTGTCGGGTCCCATTGCCGATGGAAAAGGCTTCTGTCAGGGCCCCATTGACGCGGATCCTTGCTGTTGGTGAGGAGTATAAGGCCGAAACCCAACCACGCAGGTAGGGCCCGAATCCCATATGTCGCAGCGTCTCAGCCAAAAAGACCCAGTCGACCCGGTCAAACGCCTTTTCGGCGTCGGTCGATAGGAGGACCGTAGTTTTATGGGTCTTACCGGCCACGTGTATAATGTTAAGCGCTCTTATGGTGTCATCCCTCGCCTCCCTACCCGGAATGAAGCCCACCTGGTCCGGGTGGACAAGATCCGGCATAATCCTCATTAGCCTCATGGATAGGGCCTTAGTGAAAAGCTTCAAGTCCGCGTTTAATAGCGAGATAGGCCGATAACTCGCACAATTCGCTGGGTCCTTGCCTTCTTTGGGGATGACCGTGATTGTCGCCGCCAGGGAGTCCGTGGGGAAGCTCCCCGTGTCTCTTAAGGAGTTCAGACCTGTCAAAAGTCGCGGTAGGAGCGTATCCTGGAACGTTCGGAGATAGGCGAGCGGAAGGCCGTCCGGACCTGGGGCCTTATGTGGTTTGGACCGTTTCAAGGCTGCCTTGAGCTCCTCCAGTGTCAGGGGGCACTCCAGTTCCTCGGCAAGCTCCGGTGACAGTCTACGGGTCACGTTGGTCTCTAGATATTCGGTGATTCCCCTCCGTCTGTGCCGTTCTGAGGCTTCTTGGGCCCCTGTCCGTGAGTTGTAGAGGTCCGAGTAGTAGGCCCGAAAGGCTCCCATGATTCCAGTCGGCATGCTGTGGATCCTACCCTCTCGGGTACTTATCTTATGGATGTGAGATGACCTCCTCTGTTTCCGGATCATCCTGGCCAAGAGCTTGCCGCACTTATTAGAGTACTCATAAAAGAAACGGGCCGACTTCCTCAAGGTGAGTAAGTGTCCCTGGGAGAGGTGATCCCGGAGTGCCTTACGAGCGTTCGTCAATTGGAGGTATGTATCATCGTCTACATTCTGTTTGTGCGTGTCCTCCAGCGTCGCTACCGTCTTCAGGAGTTCTGCTATGCGGCGCGTCTTCTCCTTCTTACGCTTGGTACCTATAGAAATAAAGTGTCCTCTCAGGACACATTTGTGTGCCTCCCATACCATTAGTGATGTCACGTCCGGGGTATCATTGTTAGCGAAATATTGGGTAAGAAGTTGTTGGGCTTTGGAGCGCGCCTCGAGGTCTGATAGTAGCGTCTCATTGAGCCTCCATTGACGGTCTACTGGTTTGAATAGGGGCGAACGCATCTGTACCGTGACCGGGGCATGGTCCGAATGGCACATGGTCCCTATTGCGGCTCCCTGGAGGTGTGTCAGGAAATCCTGGGGCAGAAAAATGTAGTCAATGCGGCTATACTGCTTATGTGTAGGGGAATAGTAGGTATAATCCCTCTCGTCGGGATGGGTAACCCTCCAACTGTCAACCAGCCCCACCGAGTTAAGGGCCCGTCTGGCCCTGTGGAGGCAGTGAGCGGGTATGGCACTAGAGCCCTTTGAGGAATCCACCCGCGGGTCCAACGGCAGGTTCAGGTCTCCCGCCAGAACCAAAAATCCCTCCCTAAATCGTTCTAGCTTCGCTAACGTTTTGGCTAAGAAAGAGTGTTGTGCTCGGTTCGGGCTATAGACACAGGCGAACGTGTAGGCGTGTTCCGCTATGGTACCCTTGAGGAATAGATATCTCCCCCCTGGGTCTGTGAGTAATTCTTTGTGTTGGTACGGGATCAAGTGTGAGAAAAGGATTGCGACACCTGTCTTCTTGGCGTCTGGGTGACATGCATAGTATCCCTGTGGAAATCGGTTGTTTCTAAGCTTGGGGTGGGCCCCACTCACAAAGTGCGTCTCCTGCAGGAACGCCACGGACACCCTCTCCGCCCAGAGCTGGCGCATCAACTGGGAACGTTTCTCCGGGACATTAAGGCCCCTGGCATTGTGCGACCAGAGCTTCAGCTGCGCCGGGCGCACCCGAGACCCGGCCTCCGCCCCCGCGCGCCCCCCGGCCCGGCCCACCACCGGGACCGCCATGAGCACTAGTGACCACCCGCGACCCCGGGGGGAGGCGGGGAAGAGGGCGCGGGAGGCAGAGCCGAGCCCTGCCCACAGATGCAGCAAGGAAATGCAACGTCCGACCTTGGTCCGGATTATCGTCTAGTAGTCCCCTACCTACTGACCGTCTAGACTCCGACCTTTATATACAACTAAGGTCTGTTGCGTGGGGTGTGGTACAAACCACGTGTGTCGCCTGTCACTCGTATATGTAGT